TCCTGTTGTGAATATTGAGGATGAAATATTTATTTATTTATTTTTAAACCTAATTTACTATGCAACTATACTGTATATACACACATTACTTAACTTTAGGGTTTATTATTTAACTTAGTCATATGATTGGGAGACCATGTCATTGACTTCCAATTGTAAACTGCAAGTTATTGGTGACATCTCGGTCACTGAATTGGGAGTGAGCTTTAAGGCCCACAGGGGAATGCATATAAGCGTTACATTGGCAGGAAAGTATTACAATTCAGATATGTGAACATTGCTCTGTATGGTCAGCATAAGGGTGTAAGTCTTCCTTATTGTGTTTTGGGTGTGTGGGGATGTAGTACCCTTAGTTCTCTTCTAGGGGTAACCTCGGACCCAGTTAAAAAGTATATATAGCAGGGGAATAGTTTCCTGAAGGTTTTTTGGGGGGTGTGGAAACTGAGTTAGAAAGAAGAGTAGAGATAACCTCTTGTGCGCCCTTGTGGGAGTGACAGGGTCGCACAGGCCCGTCTTTAATACTGATCGGACCCTGGGCAAACATTTTCTTGGGTCCCCCCCCAGGAATTTATCTCACCTCCCCAACACCCAGAAAAAAAAAACAGCACACATAGATCATAGACTTCTCTCAAAAAAACTTTGACTGCAGGATTTCAAACCGATTGCAAGCTCAGCCGTTTATATTAGGGATGCACCGATATATCGGCCGCCGAAACATATCGGGCGTAAATGCCACTTTTGGCATAATGCCGAAAGTGCCATTTCCCCTACCAGGGCTATGTGGGGTCTCACCACATAGCTTCCCCTACCCCAGCGTCAGGCCCTTCTTCAACCTTGGGCACCAGCTGCTTGGTACTCCTGTGATCAGAGGCGGCTCTAGTGTTTGCATGTTTTGGTACCTTCCTGCCCACGTGCAGGAAGGTTTTTTTTTCCTGTGCTGATTCTACGGTACGACCGCGGCGGTACGGACACCTTGCCGATCCCTGCGCTACGCGGGCGATCCGATCGGCAAGTTTCTGCTGGCAGCGGGCTCAAGGGGCAGCTGCTTTGGGCCCCACAGCCATGAATGGGCCCGGGGCAAGCGCCCTCTTTGCCCCGCGTTAAAGACGGCCCTGGGGTCGCAGCTGGAAAAAAATAGTTTTATGGTATTTCTATGTTCCCCTTAGGCGGAACACTGCTGTTGCTTCCCCAAGTGGGTCTAGCCAGTACATCTGGAAGGTTTTTGAGAGCACTCCCTCATGTGGGTATAGTTATGGAAGTAGACTAACCATGGCAATGAAACTGTAATGAAAATGGACCATTTCATTGGTAAAGAGAAGTACAAGCAGAATTATGGATGAGTCTCATCACTATTGAGACCGGTGGGTTGTCCATACTAGGGGAATGCATGCTAGGAGCCAGCTTGGGCCATTGGTGTATGCTGATTCGGCGATGGTAGGTCAGTCAGTGGTATTGGCTGGTCAGGTTCCTCCAGTGTAGTTGCCGTGCCACCTGAGACTCAAAATCACATGGGCCTCAGGTACAGGGCATGACCCTCCTAGGGACTGAACCTGCAATCACGGAAGCAACAGAGGCCTTCAATTTGTGAGGAAATAAAGTAACCTGATCAGGCTGTCTAAGGCTGAAGTTATGGAACCTGATCCTGTAGTGAAGCCATAGGGGCAAGTTGGATGCTCCAGCTTGCCAAGCTGTTGGCTAGGGCTTCCCTGGCTAGGAACCTAACATCCCAGCTGTCAGTAGGACCCCCTTACAAGGATGAGATTGAATCAGAAGATAATTACATCAACATCTAGACTGCTAGTATCCCTTTAACAGCTTCATTTTCTTTTCCACAGATCCACACCACTGCATTAGTGAATAACCCTTTGGAAGTGGAGGTTTTTTATACAAATCCTTTATCTACAAAACTAACTGATGGAGTTTTGTCTTTTGGGGGCAGTGGCTTAGTCAATAAAAAATTCAAGAAAAAGTAAGTAAGATCTCTGAAATACAACAGTATGATTATCAACAGAAGAAAACAAGTAGCAGTAATTGAAAATAACACATAAGCAAAGTGACATTTCTGGGTGTGACAGTTATGAACGCATAAAAATAATATAACTGCTTCTAATTTCAGAGTTCCAATGATGGAGCCCAGGCGGACACAACATATGTTTGTGGAAATTACTCCTTCTAGACTTGGCACAAAACAGCTGGTGGTGGATTTTACTTCCAAACACTTTTCAGCTATAAAGGGTTTCCATACCATAGATGTAACAGACGTGGATGAGGTCTATGACGAATCATTAGAATGAAATAATAACAGGCACTATGATGTACGTTTTGCATAAAGTGACATTTGCTATCTCATCTAATAGTACCTGTGTATGGAGAATGCTAAAAGCTCATTATTGTTCCCTCTCTCATATCACATTTCTATAGTAGACATGTAAGCTGTGGAAAAATTCGGTTCGGAAATTTCGTTATTTCGGAATTCGGATCCGAAATTCAATTCGGTTTTGGTTAGCGTAGCGGGAGTGATGCAAAATGCGCTGCCGCCTTCCCCTCTGTGCTAATAGCGTATCTTCTCAGAGGCTGCACACAGCGCGCGCCGGTTTAAGTAGTAACCAGCACACGCTGTAAGCAACTTCTAACAGCGTGGGAGGCGGGAGGCTGCGCTTGTTGGTGGATCCAGGAATCAGGTGAGTATTAAAAAAAAAAAGTTTTATTTTATGTTCTATTCTTAGTTCTATAATGTAATTGTAGTACTTTCAGGTGGAATACAGCTTCATAACATATCAGCTAGGGAACTACAAGTCCCAGCATGCCCTCATTGCCCCTGTACAACAACCAGATATTGCCGTTCCCTGGGTGATATGTGTGTGTGGGGGGGGGGGGGTGTACAGGGACAATGATGGCATGCTTGGACTTGTAGTTCCTTAGCTGATATATGTGTGGGGCGTACAGTTCTAGTGGATGTTTATATAATATTGGTTGGCGAAAAAAAATGTTCTGCCCCGGGCGCCCATAACTCTGGTTACGCCACTGGTTCGGGTTTCGGATTCTAACGAAATCCGAATTTCATTCGTTGCTGACGAGTTTACAAATATTCATTGTGAATACCACAGAAAACCATATGCAGATATTAATACTAAAGCTGAATCTCCTAGACCCATGGCATTCGGCATCCGAATTTCCAAATTGCATTCGGGAGCTTCTAAATGTCATTCGGCTCTGGGAGCCATATACATATATTACTAAAGCTGAGGCTCCCAGACCCAAATGGCATTTGGGAGCTCCTGTATGCAATTCGGAAATTCGGATCCCGAATGCCATTCGGGTCTAAGAACCTCAGCTTTAGTATTATATGTATATATTGTATATGGCTCCCATATTGGCGTAACGACAATTCGTGTTCAGACCCATTCGGATGCATTAAACTGAATAACACATCTGATTGGCCAGAAAAGTCGCATGTCGGATTTATTTTCGTTTTTGAATGAAATTCTGATGGGATCAGAAATTCGTAAACGGAAATTCAGATTCGAACACATTCCGATGCATTGAGATTCGAAAATTCGGATGTGTGAATGTCCAAATTTCTGAAAATTCGTCTGAATTTTGATTTGGAACGGAACAAATCGCACATGTCTACTCCATAGCAATACCAAGATAGAAGCTGTGAAAAGTGTTAAATCTGTTACTGCAATGTCTGTGCATAGAAAGTCTTCCTGGATAAAACGACATAATTGCTCCTTTACCAATGAACTGGTCAGCTTATAGAAAAAAAATTATAATAATTCCAGCCAATTGTGAGGGAATGGGAGATGCCATTGTAATTGATGGATGTGGCATTGCAGATATGCTTTCTGAAAGGAAAGTAAATTTTTAAACAGAGTTTTCACAGCTGTAATCCAGGGATTGATAGAGAGTGAGCAATATAAAGTTTTCAACAGCCTCTAGGTACCTGTACTGATAGATGGGATAGCAAGAGGAAACTCATGGGCCACTTTAAGTAAATGGAACCTGCCAGGTAAGGGAGTTAGCATTGCTGAGTTTTGTTATAAGGAAACTATAATGTTTTTTTGGGTACTTTGTTTCCTGTTTTTAAGCTGATGTATTATATATGTGCTTCTTCTACTATATGCAATCTTTGTTTTACATATAAAAAATATACTTTTTTAATTCAAGTAAGATTCAAAAATACACATGCTTCTTGTATTTAGATAAGATTTGCTTAGCCCGGAGTTCAGCTTTTGGTTTTCACAAGAGGCAGAAAACCTGTAGTTGTCTCCTGTCAGACACTGTTGTCTCGCACTGAAACCTCAGTGTAGTCAAGCCCTTTTTTCAGCAAAGAAGGTAAGGAAATGGAGAAAAAAAATTGAAAATGAGCCAAAAGCTCCACCTCCTGGCTAAAAAAATAATACAGAACATTAATATGCAATATGTCACATTTACCTGTTTGAAAAAATTAAATATTTTTAAAGCTGTATTTTTTTTAGTCCTTATTATAATACAGTAATTAAAACCCATAATATTTCCCTTTCATGATGGAGGCTTTCAGGGGTTCATCCTCTTTCTTGTTTCACTACTTAGTCACTGATCCAAAATAAGCATGCATTCAATAAGTGGAACTTCCCAACGTACACACTTGGTCCATATTAGTTGCGAAATAAGGATAAACATGACAGCCCTGGAGCTTTCACGTCAACAAACAAGCCAGCACTGACAGATTCTTTATTTCTACCCTGAAGAATCCCTTCAATAATGAAAAAATACACTGAGTGGCCAGATTATTATGAACACCCCATCAGTACTTCGTTGGGCCACGAGATAACTCCACGAGATGACTTCGTTGGGCCGCCTCGTGACTCCACGAGATGTTGAAAGGTGATGCGAGGAATCTGACACTGCACTGTTGCCCTTCTGTTGTCTTGTACCAGTCTTGCCACTCTCCGTTCTGCCCTAAAATTGACTAGTCGCTGACGGCCACAATTCGCACGTTCACACCCAGATTTTCGGCTGACAGTCCAGTCTTTAAACACTTTAACAACAGCTGCTCTTGAACATTTAACGAATTCTGCTGTTTTGCTGATACTCGCTCCATGGTTCCGAGCGCCAACAATCATCCCACGTTCAAAGGCTGTTAAATCGCGTTGTTTCCCCATATCTTCAGAAAAAAAAACTCCTACTGTCGTGGTAAACAACCTGCTTCCCTATTTATAATGGTCTGGCCCTCTAGCAACTTCATCACGAAATTATAGCTAATTATAGCTAATTTGCCTACAAACGTCAGGTGGTCATAATAATCTGGCCACTCAGTGTATATGTGAAATGTAAATGATCAGAAAAGTGCAGGTCTGGCCTGCACTGCCTTGTCTAATGCAACACATATTAATGTGCAACATAACATGCATATGTTAACATACTGCAACGCAGTGGATATATCTGAATGGGCCCTAACTCTATCTTTCAGTATGCTTGGCAACATGCTTTACTGCAGTGGCGTACCTGGAGGGGTATGGTTCTCACTGGGTGGTGACACTCAGAGGATGTTGCGGATACTGCCGATATATTTGTGTTGCATGGTGCTGCAGTGCCTGGGTCATTTATATTGCAATGCCAATTTCCCTGCCTGGCAGCGATAGCTCAGAGGATTTGTACTGGGGGTTCTGTGCTGAGTCGGTGGGCTGGGAGGGGATCTGTACTTGGGCAAGGTCTGTTCTGAGGGGGTTGGCTGGGATGGGAATTTAGGGCTGTGGGGGGAGATCTGTACTGGGGATAGATTGATGGTGTTGTGGGAGATCTGTACTGTTGGGCTGTAGGGAATATGGGTTTGGGGTGATTAGTACTGGCAGGAGGGGGTATGATTGTATTCTGTACACTGGCCTTTGTGTTTCATACACCTGTGGACTTTGCGTTATGCCCTCCTGACCCTGCACTGTCTCCATTACACACTCCTGACCCCTGTACTCTCTGCGTTAACACTCCTAAACCCTGCGTATCTCCATTACGCACTGCCGACCTCTGCTCTCTGTGTGTTACACACTTCTGGGCCCTGCACTTTAGGTACTAGGTTGTACAATTTAAACTCCTGACACTATAAGTACATTGAATACTCTTGAAGGTAGGGTGTGTGCAGAAAGACAGGTAATGGAAACGTTTTTAGGTTTTTTTTTAACAATTGTGCACCCACGATTTGGTTAGCCACTTTATAAGTGAAAGTCATTTTTGTATGGGAGGTGTTATAAAAAAAATGATCGGCCCCAGGTGCCAGACCTACTAGGTAAACACATTTGGGGGGGGGTTTGACTCAGCAGCAAAGTTTCTTAAGGTGCCCATACACCTTACAATTATCTGCAGATTTTCTGTGGTCAGATGGAAAAAGTGCAACAGATTGGCCCAGGTGGAGATTACTCCATCCACACAGTTAAGTGTAGATGGAGGAATCTGTAAGGTGTATGGCCAGCTTTACCTGGAGATCCTGCCAGCAACAATGCAGGCTGACAATGCTAGGCCAGTGACAGGCATTTAGCAGCAGAGTTGTCAGCCTGCTGTGGGAGCTCCTTCAGCTGTTAATTCTGAGGTGGGGCTTAGTGTTTTGCTAAAACCTGAGAAAGAGTGAACAAAAGAATGTTTACTTAACTTAATGAATAACTTGACGCTATGTTCACTTGGAATACCCAGTCATGTGCAAGGGAAATGTAAAAAAAAATAGGATTAATTGTTTGCACATGATTGGAGGATTAAAGCAAATGCAGTTTCACCATAATCAATCAACAAGACAAATGAGCATTCAGAGAGTGAATATTCTCTTTTAGTAGATCAACCAATGAGTTGCTAAACTTATCCGGACAGATTATATAAATAATTTTTGGACCTAAAAGTGCCTTCTAACTGAACATTTATACCAGGGGTAGGCAACCTCGGCACTCCAACTGTGGGAAAACGACAAATCCCATCATGCCTCTGCCTCTGAGTATCACGTTGATGGCTGTTAGAGTCTTGCAATGCCTCATGGGACTTGCAGTTCAACAATAGCTGGAGTACCGAGGTTGCCTATCCATGATGTATACTGTAACCTAAAGAAGTCTATTTCAAGAAGAACTGGTTCTTCTACCCTGAGACCCCCCAGTAGAAACAGCACCCCCCAGTTCGTGAATGAATGGGAAGCCTCTGTACTGAGTGCTTTATATTTATTTACAACAGAGGCTGCAGAAAAAGAGATTGAGGACTCTGTGCCCTCAATTTCTTTTTCTATTTCAAAAGGGAAATATCAGGGGTCTGTTTAGACCCCTAATATTTCCCCAAAGCTCCCCAACAGTAAAAACAATAAAA